GAGTCTCCTAGAGTACTGGAACACTCCTGTAGACAGGACAACGCCTCCAATTCCAGGAAGGTGGCTATTGGATACCAGCAATAGTCGTGAGACCGGCTGAAACTGACAGATCTTATCACATACGCACAGCTGAAGGAGGGCAGGAGTACAGGCAAAACAGATGTCACCTCATTGACATAAAAACAATACACACATTGAGAACAACTCTGATCACACACAGTGCAGCACTACATCATACACCGCACATACAGCCAGGGAGACAACCCCTCTCACTGTCCTCTACAAGACAAGGTCTGGGCGAGAAGTGAAACCCAGGGTTGTTTTGGATTTAATATAATATAATCGCATGTAAAAGGCTGTAGGCAGATCGCTGCCCTTAACAAAAATAAATGAATAAATTGTAAAATGTTATTGATTATTGAGTTTTATTGAGAAAATAAGTTCATCAACACCAGTGTGTTATTAATGTAACATGAGGGTTCGGTATGTGGTGGTGGATCACTCTTTATGAGAATAAACAGCAGGATGGAGCGATGCTTTTCTCCAAGCCAGTACTTTACTGAATTTCACAACTCACCAACAACTCCCAAATTCCCTTGTTGGACCTCCTCACCGTGACTGAACTAACCAATCAGAACTCGAACTTAGACTGAGGCAAACGTGAGGGAATCAAGAGGAGGCAGATTCAACAGAATATCCTGACTGTGTTAAATATGTAAACATGTAAATAATATTGTGCTAACATAAATATGTCAATAATAAACTGACTAAACATTGTAAATACATTTCTAGTAAATTAACTCAAATATAAATTATATTAAACTTCTGAGCCTTACAATTTTCAAATATGAATTAACTCCACTTCTAAACCTTACATTAAAATCATGATGATGTGACATTTTGGGGGGTCTGTACAAACAAACAAATCAAAGCCTACAGCTCTTATCATACGCATACTGCCCATGGCCATTTTGTGATTTCGATTAATTGTGCAGCCCTAGAGCATAATCAGTTGAAAATAATTCCTATTTGCACAGTTGGTACATTTTTTCCCCACAGTATAAGTGAAGTGAAAGTGCATGTCATGAGACACTTTGCATTATAAGTCTGACAAACACACTGTACACTCACTAAAGGGCTGTCTGCTACCTCAAGCCCAGCTTAGCTATCAACATCTGAAGCTCTTACCGTTCTCGCTGTGAATAAAGGCTGGACCAACACTAATGCATAGGAAACCCTGCTTTCCCCGCCCTCAGTCCGAGAATAAACGAATACAACTAACAGATACCCATATGAGGATGCTAGGTAGCCTCAGACTTAAATGTTTAGCATGAAAATGAGAAAAGCATAATGCCTTTACAAACACATTTGCATTTTAAGTTGAAGCGTCTTTTTCACCTACAACCTGTAACTCGCTGAAACTCATCGATCTTGGGTCAATATATTGTTTTATTGTCGGTAAGTAAGTTTTTATGGGCTCATGATTGTACTTCTTGTTCGATTTTTTATTTGTTTTTTGTTGTTGTTGTTTTAACCTGTCAAAACTTAATAAAGATTCTTTAAAAAACAAAAAACGTAACGCGTGTAGCCTAACTGAAATCACCTGTTGCGCATTCGTTGGAGGCCAAATTGATTACTGTTGGTCCGCAAAGAAAAATAGATCCTTAAATGGCTGGAAAACAACAACGTTATCGCTTTGTAACATAAATGTAAAATGATGAGCTGTTATTATTCTAAACACAATATGTCATGTATATGGACAGGATAGGGGCTAAAATAGGGGTTTAGTATATGCCTTTACACAACTTTAAAATACATTTAGAGATGTTTTCCGGTCGGCAAATGATCGAAATGTAGTGAACGACACTACGTATATGAGACGTGCGGCCGTCCACGATGACATTTTGTTCAGGTAGCGAAGCAGAGGGGCGGTGCGGTGCGCTTCTTGTTTACCAGGTAAAGAGAGAAAGAGCCACTCCCGTCTGAATAATGCTGATACAGTTGAGGACAGAGTAGACAGACAGGGTTGCCCGCAGAGACCTCACTCAAAATCCAGGTGAAATTAGTGGCCTGTGAATATTTGGGACGAGTTGTGGGTGCAATGCGGCTGACAGCGACTCACAGGTAAGTCAGCAGCTGCTTTAGTGTCTTAACCTTGTCTGTCATGTGTTGAGCAGACAAGTGGTTCACTTAAGGTTTGGGATGGACGCGTACAGTTTAGTTTTTGGGTTTAAGGGCTCTGAAGAAATAGTTAATCTGAGTAAAACGGAAAGGAAAAGGGAATATTGATCAACATTTAGGTTTTTATAATTCAAGTTTACAAACGAATCAGGATACATAATGTGTTACTTGGAGATTAAAATATAGGCAAAACCTGTAGATGGATGCAAATAATTGTGTAGTCAGTGGTGACCCGTATTTACCCCTTTACTCCATGAACATGCTGGTATAAAAAACTGTTTGCATCAAATATCTGGTTTGATTCATTTACTTTATTATTTTTTGATCAGAAAGTTTCAGATTTACAGTATTTTTTTTAATTATTATTGTCTATAATATTAGAAACTATTGTTCTCACAAGATTCAAAGTGCGAAGAGGAAAATGGACTCATGTCTTAAATGTGAACCAAGCTCAGTCCTCAGAATACAGACAATGTTCATGTTAGCACAAGTTTAGCACATGGCTCAATTCTCGCTGAATTATTGCAACATGTTTGAAAACATTTTCGCAGTTTTGCAACTTAATTGCATAATTACTTTCCTACCACCTGATCCATCTAAAAGTGTGTGGCAACAAAGGATTGTATGTAAAAGAAAGAGACAAAGAAATGCTTTTTTTTGGTCTAAATGTTTCGATGTAGGATTAATATATAACTTTTACAGTAATGTTATATGTTGTCCAGTATATCAGCTCAATTTGATTAGACTTTATGGTTGATACAGAACTGAGCTAATGCAGTGAAGTACTGATCATCATTTTATCTTATCTGTATTTACAGTAAAACAATAAATAAAATAAAGTCATTCTTACTCTGCATTACTTTAAATACTGTCGGGCTCTACGACATA